CCCTATATCTAAGGCAGTTCTTAGTCATAAAAACAAAGCTGGGGGCATCAGCATACCACATTTTAGGCTCTACTACAAGGCCATAGTGGTCAAAACAGCATGTTACTGGCACAAAAATAGAGACATAGACATTTGGAATCAAATAGAAAACGAGGAAATGAAACTAACATCTTACAACCGCCTAATCTTTGACAAACCAAACAAGAACATACACTGGGAGGAAGACTCCCTATTTAATAAACGGTGCTGGGAGAACTGGATATTCACATGTAAAAGACTGAAACCGGACCCGCACCTTTCTTCACTCACAAAAATTGATTCAAGATGGATAAAGGAGTTAAATTTAAGGCACGAAACAATAAAAATCCTCAAAGAAAGCATAGGAAAAACACTGGAAGATACTGGCCTGGGGAAAGACTTCATGAAGAAGACTTCCAAGACAATTGCAACAACAAAAATAAACAAATGGGATTTATTTAAACTGAAAAGCTTCTGTACAACTAAGAAGACAACAACCAAAGCAAATAGACAACCTACACAATGGGAAAGGATATTTGCACATTTTGAATCAGGCAAAAGCTTGATAACTAGGATCTATAGAGAACTTAAATTAATCCACATGAAAGAAGCCAGCAATCCCATATATCAAAGGGCAAGAGACATGAATAGAACCTTCTCTAAAGAAGACAGATGAATGGCTAACAAATATATGAAAAAATGCTCATCATCCCTAAGTATTAGAGAAATGCAAATCAAAACCACCCTGCGATACAATCTAACCCCAGCGAGAATGGCCCACATCACACAATCTCAAAACTGCAGATGCTGGTGTGGATGTGGAGAGAAGGGAACACTTTTACACTGCTGGTGGGACTGCAAACTAATACAACCTTTCTGGAAGGAAGTCTGGAGAACCCTCAAAGAATTCAAGCTAGACCTCCCATTTGATTCTGCAATCCCATAACTGGGCATTTACCCAGAAGGAAAAAAGTCCTTTTATTACAAGGACACTTGCTCTAGGACTCTTTATCGCAGCTCAATTTACAATCACCAAAATGTGGAAACAGCTTAAATGACCACCAACTCAGGAATGGAAGCTGTGGTATATGTACACCATGGAATACTATTCAGCCATTTAAAAAAAAATGGAGACTTTACAGCCTTTGTATTAACCTGGATGTAAGTGGAACACATTCTTCTTCTTCTTTTTTTTTTTTTTTTGAGACAGAGCCTCAA